ACTAAGATTTCTTGTTAACATTGTTAAAAAAATTATCCTTGTAAACGATTTTGGTGTTTATGCCTATTGCTTTTTAACCAAATTTTATGCTTTTCACAACAGTCCCGGTGACGGTGATGATACTCGCTCCTTTCTTGCATCATTGGATTTTATGACTAACTGTCATATTTAAGGACAGTATTTCAGTATTTCCATTTAGACAAATATTCAACTTAAAATTTAATTTACTTTTCTCACATCTAACTGGTAAATTAACAAAATCATTGCTGATAAAAAAATAGCATAACCGTACCCATTTCTTTCAATTTCTTGTCTTTTGTGTGTTAAAAATAGTAAATTATATTAAATCTTATAGTTATAGAGTATAAAATAATATTAAGGATATGTGCCTATGTTTTAATCAAAACAAAATGTAGAAACATACGATCATCATTTTCAGAGATGAGAGTTTTGAAAAATGCGATTATTCTCCGCTTATCGAATGAGAAGCGCCGAGATCAACAAAGATATTTTTTGCCCTGAATTTCACTAATGACCTAAACTATACGACAATAGGTCAAATTTTATGGGCAGTTTCGCACTGAAGTAAAAAGTACATAATAACCTAGTGATCTCTGTACATAGTATTCATAAAACAACTTTCACATATCCTTTTTCACATTAAGAACTAAGCACGACTCACACCAAATATGTTCAGATATATCAACTTCATTTTTTTATTAAAATGATGCATGCAAAAATTCCAGTGAAAACTTATTGTTGACACGATTCTATTTTATTTATCATACGATCAAGATCTGATAATATATGATGTTCTGCATTTGCTTTTTTATCGAATGGAGCTTGCATATAGAGGTCAAATTAGTTTTTAATTGTATTACTAATTTATATTTTGATAAAGCTTTTTTTTCAAAATCAATTATTAACTTGGAAATAATATTCATGCATAAATTTTATTAACGCTTATTTTTGACATTTACATTTTATTGACAATATAGTTTTAACTATATATAAAGAATATTAGACAGTATTTTTCCGTTTACTCTTATAGACTGTAAGAGTAATAAAATTTAATTTATAAAATTCGCCTCAAAATCTGTGAAAAGATTCATCAGTGTTAGAACAACTAACTATCCAAGTGAAATTGAACTCTCTTTTCATCCTTCCACAAATAGGGAAACCTATTTATTATGTATTTAAATACTAACATATATAAGTTCAAAACGGTCAATTTGACCGGCGTTGGTAGGTTTAGTGTAAAAAAATGCTGTGGAGCAGAAAATAAAAAATACGTTCTCATGAACATACACCTTTGCAAAAAGAATTCTAACTACAATTCATAATGTGTAGAGCTGCAGCCATTTCACATGTGTAACAATCGCATTTAACATTGTAATTATAAAACTTAACTAGTGGTCCATGGCACCATGCCTTAAGGCAAATTGGTGGAACTTGAAAAAATTGAAATTCTTAAAAATCTTTAAAAAAAAATCCAAAAAATTATATTTTTGAAAATCTTAAAGTTATTGAAAAAAAAATTTCATTCTTTGATTTTTTATATTTTGATTTTGAATCATTTACATCGGACGCTTCATTATCTAAAAAACTAAATTACCATTTTTGTCACTTTTTGTCGCTTATCTTCGAACGGCTGGAACTGCATTTGCCAAAAACACGTCTCCCTATCAATATAAATCGAATGATTTTTGAATTATTCAAATCCGTAGATGCGTCTTTCGGTAATCGTCGACAAAAATTTGAATCAGCACACAAACACACACACATACATGTATACGTTCATTTTTTCTAAGGTATTCCAAAATGTTCAAAAACCTTTGAAAATTAAAGATATGAAAAATATTTCATTTGCGATATTTTTGCGATAACTATAATTCACCCTACGAAAAGTTGAATATTTATTTATTATTCTCCACAAACATTGGAATTATGAATCAAATATATCATGCAGTTCACAGATGTCTAATGGCTGATTGCAAAAATTAAGAAAGTTGTTTTATGACTGACTTCAAGTGAGGTCATATCAGTCATATGTACATTTACTCAAGTAAATGTAAAAAAATTACTTTTTCTTTAGGTAAGATCGCGAGTTAAGCGTGATCATGGTAGTAAATGCTCTACTTTTGAAATAGATAAAAATATACAAACAAATACTGACAATAAAACCAAAACCGTAAAGCGTTATACAAATTATATATATTTTTTTAATTTACTTGCGTTTTTATACGTCACATTACCATTTCCAATATTCAAAATGAAATTAAATCTGAAATAATATTAACACTATTGATAATAAAACAGTTGATTAAACTAAATCAAACTACTGTCCCATATCGAAATTATTTTAAATACTCAAATATTTATATGAAAAATTGCAAATATAAAATGTTTGCAAAGAAGTATGGCTATCGTATTGTTCTCTTATTGTCAAAACTCACAATCAGTAGTTTTAGCAATAAAAAAAAATCAAGAAACAAGAGAGCATAACCGAAGAAACTATCAAAAATGCTGAATGAAATTCATACATATTTTTGAATTCGATTCTAATAGGCATTTTAATTGGATAGGCTTCAAATGTTCTTCAACAAAATTAATTTTAATAAAGATTTTTATTTAACATTTTTGGTGAGTGCTCTAATGCTTAGATTATTCTCAAATAATTTATATTACTTGACTAAATTATTTCATTTGATTTTGAAATAGTTTGTCAAAAGCGAGTTTCATAAAAACTTGAAACATATAACGTTACAAAAATATTTAGCTATCGTAAAAATTCAGTAAACTCTTAATTATTTATGATTTTCTTATCGCAATTTACCATAAAAATGAGATTACCATAAAAAAATTCACAATCAGTACAAACTTCAAATCAAGGTTCTTTAAAATGTAGAATGATATTTGAACTATTTATTTCAAATGGTAATAACTATGTTCCTAATTATTATAATTTCGGATACAAGTTATACACTATTTATATTGATAATACTTCAATTTATTTTCAATTAATAGAAATTTTCTAATGGAATCATGTTTATCGATCCGAGAACAAGGGGGAATTAAAATAATTACTCTAATTTTTCTAAATTGAAATACGTCGGAAAATAAACGATTTTATATCTACGTAGCTAGAAAATAATTCAAGTAGCAATTATTTAGAATTACAATTATGAAATTACAATTACACAAGTTGTTAAGCTTCAGTCAGAGTGAACTGTGAGTTACACGCCATACATTTTTTTGAAATAATCAAAGAGTATAATAATTTAAAACATTTAAAAAGATTTTGAAGGGGTCACACAAAAATGAGTTAAATTGCAGGTTTTAAAAATAGAAAAAATTTAATATTCGTCTTCAATACTCCTTTTATGTGTTTTAACCCTCCGTCAGTCGGAGTGGTCTGGCCAGACTTTTTTCGACTTCAATTTAAAAATAGTTTTAGTAATCCTATCGACTTGAAATTTCTTGACTTTTCCTAAAATTTCATTAGCTGTCGATCAATGAAATGAAATCAGGACAAAAAATGTACAGAAGGATAATTATAAGGATAATAACTTTTTTATACTTCGAACGGTCGGAGTGGTCTGTCTAGTCTAGACCACCCATACATTTTGTATGAAATATACGCTTTTTGATATATGTATACCAGTATTTTGTCTTTTTTCTGGTATTTTCTATTCATACTGCTACTACATTCATACTTTTATATATTCTTTGCTATGTTTTGTAACATGAATGTTAGTATTTTCACGTACTTTTATTTCAACAATTTTTATACCCGTACTGCGTTCGAAATTTTTTTTGGCAAACCTGTAGTGAAATTATGTTTTCATTTGAATTTCACATTCATTTCGAAGGTGCCGAAAAAGAATAAATATTGTTTTTCATTGATATAAAACAGAAAAATTAACAAAGAAAGCAACGATTTTATTATATTCCTTGATTTTTTTATATAATATTATATAATATATAATATGTTTGTTACAAGCAAGCTCAACCCATGCAAAAGTCGGTAAGAAAAAAAATCTAAACTATAAATATTTACTACTAATAATCGTTAATATATAAGACACCAAAAACTCATTTATCCCATATAAATGCATGTAAAATGAATAGTGGTCCAGCCAGACCACTCCGACCGTTCGAAGGTAAATAAATATCCGATCGATGGAGGGTTAACTCTAATGTACTTGTGGTAAATGGATTTTAAAATCATATGCGGATCATCTTTTTTATTAACTTGCCGAAGAAAAAGTTTATGTTTTCGTACAAAAATCATATTCGCTAATTTTATGTTTTCTCGAAGTTTTAAACCATTCCGAATCGAATGAGACCAAATTTGGTAAAAGTATGTGCGTATGTGTATGTGAGCCGATTTTTGACCTTATGTCGACGTTTCCTCTAAAAACGGCTGAACTGATTTCAAAAATTAAAAAGCCATTCGATGTATCTACTTGAGGACTAGCGTTTATAAGTTTTATGCGACGATCGGCCAAGCCATTTCTTTGTAATTAACAAAAGAGTGTTAATTTTTTCATCCACGTTTTAGCCCACATTTAATTTAATTAATTTTAAAAATTCAAACCAAAAGGTATTGGTTGGGAATCGTGCTGATTTGGTAAAGTTCGGCCGGCCTGTGTTCTTGTTCAACTGTTGAAAACTTTTTTGTCGATTTTTATGATTTTTTTATAGTCATATAAATATATAATAGATATCATAGTTTTATACACCATACTAAAATATTACGACTCTACGACAAATAGTTTCGTTTTAAAAATTCATCTAAGTCCTAATTTGTTTTATCACTAGCAAATTTTCGGCGCTTCCATCAAACTAAGGGGCCGATCCCGCCGGAAAATAGACCAATGTTATGGCAAGACTGAAGGCTGAATTGTTAAGAAAACTGATGATAGTACTATAAACTATATTTATATTACAAAAATCCGCTTAATAACTAACTATATTACAAAAATTTAAATATTTACCAGCTTTGCATGCTGTGCATGAAACTTTGCTCATAACGGAGGTTTCAAGCTCCAGGGCGACTTGCCGCAAATTGAATAGCTTCAAAGCTTTGTCCACAAATAGCGGCAGATTTGATGATTGCTTATCGGCATTGGACAGCGTCATCATTGCATCCATACCCCACAAGCGTCGTGATTGTGACTGCAAAAAAATATATTGATGAATTATAAGTAAGGCAATAATGTAATTTAATTTAATAAAATATACATAGCTCAGAAGCCAGAAGCCAAATTCCGTTCTAGATATTTTTATTTACAAATTCGACTTGTCTTTATTATTCACATCAACAAAATGATTAAAAATGCCGTTTGCCATTGCATTGAACAATTAGTTCATAATTCAATTAGTGCTTAATTTTTTTTTATCTTGGCTCGTGAGCACATAGAAAATTAAAAAGATTTCTTTTATTATTATAATAGTAAACCAAATACAAGACTGTAAATAAATTGTTTGAAGCGTAAACTAACCTTCAAATTAGCATACAAAATGTTTCGATGCAATACATGATTAGCAACTTACTTTTTACGGAAATCTTTAAAATATTTACAAAGTTTTGAAGGTTTTAAAAATATGTTAAAATAATAATAGAAGCCAGATTATTTCACATATCATAGAATGTTTAAAAAAAAAGATTCACATTATATCAAAATTATAAGTTAGGACTTATTTTACTACATTGTATATTAACCGATAAATAGATTTTACGTAATTTGATTAAAGAAAATAAACATACATTTTGTAATTTATCTTATTATTTGAAAAATAATTTAATATTGTATAATATAAACGATATATAATAACATTGTATTATATAAATAATATCTAGGTAATATAGACTTTTCATTTATTTACTTCAATGCAAATCAATTTATATAATTTTTTTATTTAATAAAAATGACCATTTTTGACCGCCAAATAGCTTTTATTTTTGCTTTTTTAAATCGCGAAAATCGTTTATTTTCCGACGCATTTCACTTTAGAGAAATTATAGTGATTATTTTAATTCTCCCTTGTTCTCGCCCTCCTAAAAATTCAACCAGTTATTTGTTTTATCAATACAAATTTAATGTTTTTTGAATCATTCAAATCGGACGCACCGTTATCTCAAAAACTAAATTTCCATTTTTGGTACTTTTTACCTCTTATCTTTGGAACTGCTGCAAAAACTGATCAGCATGTCTCCCCGTCAATACATATCAGAAGATTTTTTTAATTATCCAAATCGTCGACAAAAAATTGTATCCTCACATACACACATACATATATTTTTTCTAAAGTATGCCAAAATGTTTAGACCTCTTAAACGTAAAGACAAAAAATTTTTTTTTCGATTTTTTTTTTGCGATTATTATAAGTTACCCTAATAAGGAAAGTTAAAAAAACTCCTTAGAGTTATATGAACTATATACAAATAAGCTTAATATCCAGTTATCACTTTTTTAAAAAAGTTAAAATACATCGCTTTGAAAAAATGCTTTTGTGAGATAGCATATGTTGTTGATTTTGATTTTTTTTGTTTATTTTATTGGCTTTATAAACAAGTACATTAACCATTTGCGTACTATTATCATACTATACTTATAATTTTATGTTAATAGATTCAATAAAAGTACCCCATATATTCTTATTAACTTCCCGTTGGGCAAGTTATTGTAATCGTCCAAAAATTGAAATTGAAATTTTTTACATATCTTCACGTCTCTGAACATTCTGACATTCTTTAGAAAGAATGGATGGATGTGTGTGAGTGTGTGTGTGTGTGTGTGGATACAATTTTTCGTCTACGTTTCCGGGCGCACGGATCAACCGATTTGAATGGTTCAAAAAAAAAATCGATTCCACTAGTTTGTTTGTTTAAAATAACTTTATTTTCTCAATGAAAAAGATTTATTATTTAAATTCATTAGGTTAAGCAATAAATTAACGTTATTATTGAAGATTTACGTTCCCTTAGATTTCTAACAGTCTAAAAGAAACAAATTAATTAACTACTAACAGAAGTGCAACTACCGAAAAAATTATTAAAAATACAATTAATTGTTGTTCATCTGTGTATGTCTAATGAAATCATTGTTAACGTATCTCATTCAAATAACACTGATTGTTATCAAACGAAGTGTATTTTCACGTGAATCTTTTTATTATATTATCATTGTGTAATTTCCGGGTTAATTGTCGAATGGTAATTCATATGAAACTAGAATGATCAAATAGAGCCAATAACAAAAGAACAATTCAACTATAATATTGAATATACCTACGAACAGTACTAACACATTATACTAATGAACCAAGAGCCAGTGGACAGATGACTGTATGTATTTGGCGAAAAAATCATCAGAACTAGTGGTGCATGGCATCGTGCCTTAAAGCAAATTGCTGGAACTTCCCGTACGGTAATTAGAAAGAAAATTCGAAGAATGAAAATAACCGATAAATGTTTTAAATAGTTTCAAATAGATTATTTATTATAAATACTTATTAAAATACGAGTGTATTATAACAACTTAAGTATATGTTTACAAAAAAATTGTTTTTGAAATTTTAATTTTTTTTTAAAGTTCGAAATTTTTGGAAAAAAAATGTTCTAATTTTTTGAGAAATTTGGAAATTTTTGAAAATATTCGATTTTTTTAAATCTTGAAATATTCTCAAATTTTTGTAAGAAAACGATTTTTTATCAATTTTGATATTTTATGAAATTTTTCTAAATTTATATTTTTTTTGAAAATGAAAAAATTTCGAAAACTTGATTTTTTTTAAACTTGAAATATTTTTGAAAATTTTGATTTTCTTTTGAAAATATTAAAAATTACGAAATTTTTTGCAAAAGCATTTTTTGCACACCGTCTGCAAAGCAAAACGTGCCTTTCGCGATCGAATATGGACCGAATGTTTTTTCAATCATACAAATCGGCTATTCCATATTGTCGAAAATTGACACAAAATGTGTAAACATTATTAAAATCTCAATAAAATATCTGATAATTTGATGTGCATATGTTTAATAAACATTTTTGATCGCCAAATGGCTTTATTTTTTAAACTTTTTTATTGAGGGTCCATAACCGCTGGACCTGCCTTCCCAAAAAATTTACCAGTTGTTGATCAATACAAGTAAAATGTTTTATGAATTATTAAAATCGGACACTCCGTTCACTTAAAAACGGAGTTACCATTTTTGGCACTTTTTGCCCCGTATCTTCGGAACGGCTGCAACTGCCTTCGTCAAAAACTAATCAGAACGTTTCCTTATTGAAACAATTTAAAAAGCATTCGATTCCTATCGATAAGAAGACGTACTGATTAGTTTTTGGTAAAGTAGGCCCAGCCGTTCGGAGATCTGAAGTAAAAGAGTGGAAAAATGGAAATTGATTTTGTGAGAGAATACAGCATCCGATTTGAATAATTCTAAAAAGATTCAACTACTAATGATGAGAACATGTAGGAGCTAAAAGTGTAAAAAATGGCAGTTCTTGAGAAAACAAAGCTTCCGATTCGAATGATTCAAAAAACATTCTGCTTGTGAAGAAACGATTAATTTCAAAATTTCATAAAAAAATACACTCATATATTATACTATATACTTTAAATATTTTTTTTTTGAACTTCAGTTTATATATTTCTTTCAGTATTTATAATAATCTATTTGAAGTTATTTAATATTTTTCGAATATTTTATTAATGTAGAAGTACCAGCAATTTGCCTGAAGACACGATGCCATGCACCACTAGTTCTGTGTTTAAACAAAAAAAAAAGATAAAAAACGATGTCATTATTTTTAGTTACTGACGATATCATTAAACATTCAAATAGATAACAATCTCGGGTTAATGTTTAAGATATAAATAATAGTAATAATAAATAGTATATATTAAACTAGTGGGGTGTATGGCATCGTGCCTTAAGGCAAATTGCTGGAACTTCCCATACCGTAACGAAATGTTCGAGGAATACGAATGTTTTCAAATAGATTATTATTAATATTGTAACATTGTCTAATATTTATAAGAATTATATAAACTGAATTGCAAAGTTGAAATTATTTGTTTAAAGTATATTAGAACTATAGTCATAATTAAAAATAAAATCTGAATTATTTTCGATATACAAAAAAATTTTTTTTTGAAAAAAAAAAGTTGGAAAAAATAATGTTTTTTCCAAAATCAATTATTTTGTTAAGACAAGCAGAAAGTTCTTTGAATCATTTAAATCGGACGCTTAGTTCTCTCAAATACTGCCATTTTTTACACATTTAGCTTCGTATCTTCGAAATGGCTGAGTCTGCCTTTGCCAAAAACTAATAAACACTTCTCCCAATCATTACTAATTGAATGTTTTTTAGAACATTCAAATCGGATGCTCCGTTCTCTCAAAAACTCAATTTCTACTTTCTGCACTCTTTGCTCTTTATCTCCGTAACTGCGCGATCTGCCTTTGCCAAAAACTAATCAGCACATCTTCCTATCAATAGGAATCGAATGTTTTTCAAACCATTCAAATCGGTTAATCCGTGGGCCCGAAAACGTGACTGGAAATTTGTATCCATACATAAATACACACACACATCCATTTTTTTTTGAGGTATGCCAAAATGTTCAAAAAGCTTCAAAACGTGAAGAAATGTAAAAATTTTCAATTTCGATTTTCGGCCCATTACAATAACTTACCCTACGGGAAGTTAATAATACATTATAGTTAAGTATTCGTAATATAGTAGGTTCGATTTTATCCAAACGATTGTAATCCCGATATGTGGCATTGAACTAGAAAACCGTTAGAAACATCCACGAATAATCTCAACAATCAACATAATGAAGTATACATAAACGGTGAAAGTTGTGAAGACTGTTATTGCCATCATAATGGGGTATTTTTTGTGTTTTTTATTATTGCTTTTCTTTATCATTTGAGTGCTTTGCAAAACGGTAAATAATAAGATTTCACACACTAATGATCAATGACTTCGATATATAAATGAATGCATTCTTATGGATGAATGTTTGAGGTGCGATATTATTGCTAATGAACATGCCATTTTATTTTTATTATGATGTGAGCTACGTATTTATGGTAGTGCAATTTTTTTATTTCTATATATAATTTATATCATTTGCCATTTATATATAAATACAAAAAT